CACGGGGGGCCCTCCGGCTACATAGTGTAGCGTGCACTTTCCAGACAACAAGTGAGCATTCGCTACTAAAAAGGTCTTTCAAAGTTGTGACCGTACCTATATGTAATAGAAGACCATATCAAACAAGAAACACATATTGTCACTCCCTCCCCTTTCGCAGCGCTATGCACATCATACTTTTTGAACGGGATGCGCAAAGGTCTTTGCTTCATGCTGCCTTCTCTATGACCTGACTCCATTGTCAGGTCATCTTTCATGCTGGGTCCTTTTGAGCCAGCATGCCAGATGGTAATGGACGGATCCATCACCTTCCCCCTCCCTCATGTCGTCATGAGAGAAATCAAAATGGAGGAGTAAGGGGTCGGTGGTGGGATGCTTTGAGCCTGGGAGCTGCGCCGGTCGATCATGACGATCCGGGGAACAAGTTCCACTACCCGTCACTCCCTCCCCTTTCGCAGCGCTATGCACATCATACTTTTTGAACGGGATGCGCAAAGGTCTTTGCTTCATGCTGCCTTCTCTATGACCTGACTCCATTGTCAGGTCATCTTTCATGCTGGGTCCTTTTAAGCCAGCATGCCAGATGGTAATGGACGGATCCATCACCTTCCCCCTCTTTAGATGATGGGTTTGTCTTTTACCTCACCATGGATCTTCCCATCTGGTTTGACCCCGCTTTCTCTTGCGGATCGTTTCTTCAGGCCTATCGCCCTTCAGCTCCTTCGAAGACTTTGCTAGCCTGATGTCTTTGTCGAGTTCTCCTGCTTTCTCGACAAGCTTGTCTAGGACTTCAAACTGTATGTCTTCGAAGTTTCTCTCGATCCTTTTCTCGGGCAGGAAGCCTGAGAAATCGCTATTTGTGAGTGCATCTGCTTCGGTGTTCTGATCTCTTGGCACCCAACCCAGATCCAATTCCAGGTTGCACTTCTTGAGTTGCATGGCTAGTTCCATAACAACTATCGAGAGAGGATACTTACAAGACATAAAGTGCTGCAACACGTATGTGTTTCCCAGGTTGTCCGTGCTGGCAGACAACGTCAACGTGCTGATACCCTCGTCGTCCACCAAGTTGTCCCCAAAGAGGATAACTGCTACCAGCACTGCAGTCAGTTCCAGCGATGCGACGTTTCGGAATGGTTCGCCTTTCATGTAGGCCCACGGTGCATTGCGTCTATTCAGACGAATGGAAAACCATCTTCCTTTCTCATTCGAGCTCCCTCGAGGGATCTCCCATCCCCCGATCACAATGCACTCGCCTTCTGCCTTGGCATCCACTCTGAACGCCTCGCGGGACCTTTCTTTTACTCTCCTTGGTTTGCACATTGACTCCAAGGAGATCTGCATCTTCACATATTCCAGCAGGATCCTTATCGCCTCCGGGAACTTGGCAAATGTCCCTGGAGCAAGTACTGCCGACCACGCGAACAGCGGGCCGAGGAAGGGACGGACATGATGCAAAGCACCTGCGACGAATCCGAACCTCCCCAATGCTGATCGGAGATCTCTTCCGACCACTCCTTCTGAGATCAGATGACTGCTGATCCATTCTTCGACCCATTTCACCTTCCTGCTCGAGATTCCTTTCTCGAACATCTGCACATCGATCTGGTAACCAATCCATTGGACTTTGACCCCCCCTCTCACCTTCTTCCAAGAGAGAGGAATCTCCAACAGATCCAAAATGAAAAGCCAGAAGAGCAGTTTCCTCCAAAAGAAACCTCCCGTGGCAACCATCCAACCGTCATCGGCAAACAGCAGGTGTAATATGCCAAGATCCACCCCTGCCAAAACGTGCCCTAGGCGGACAACGCCAGCGGCCAGCCTCTGCCACCAGTATGCTGCTGAAGCTATTCCAAAGGTGCCTCTCGTATGAAGGAAGACCTCTTCCTTCATCTCCTCCTCTTTGCCTGGCAGCCTAAAGGCCTGCAAACCCCAGTCCTTCTCCTTCACCGGCAAGAGCTTATGAGCTCTTGCCACATCATATAACATAGAAAACCTGACCAGGCCCTTCTCCTCTTCTGCCTGATCCTCTAGGTGCATGAGCACCCCTGCCGCGTCATCCACTGTCGGGAATCTCATGCGATCCCTGACCTTTATCCGATGGTTCACATCCACCGAATATGAACCGTCGTGGACGATCCTCACCACATCCGATCCCTGCTCCTTCGGGACCGCCCCAAGTGCGGCTATCGCCAACCTTCCCGCATACTTCTTCTCAGCCTCTTTCAGACTCATCCTGATGATCGAGCCCCTCTCGACCTCCTCCGCCACCTGTCTTGCTATGTTCACCGAGTTCTCCTCGGCAGACTTGTAGTTGTCCGCAAGCGTGTCACGAAAGTCTTCTTCCGTGAAACTAAGATTCCACTTTTCCTTTTCTTCGAATACCTCTGGTACCCTGGGTAGCTCTTCGTCTACCCCCAAGCATACTCCTTCTTCCGCAACCTCTTCCAGCCATGAGTGGTCCACATCGCACACGGCCTCCAGCATGCATTTCAGTCGCCTGAAGTTCACCTCCGATTCCCTGTCATTCGGCCTTCTCCTCGGGTTGAACCCCATACGCTCCAGAGCCAAGTCTAGCCTCTCTCTGAAGCCTTCTATAACTTTGGCGAAGGGGGACTCCTGGGCCTTACCTGCCGCCATCTTCCAGAAGCACCCCTTGACCCCCTCCTCGCCGTCGTTCCCCCTGATCCATTCCAGGAAGAACCTCTTACATTCTGAAGAAATTGATTTCCCTTCTTCAGAAGCCACCTCTTTCCTATCCTTCACCGGCCACCTGCCTGGTGAATTCAGACCTCCTCCGTCATGGATAGTCCTATGACGGCCTTTGTAGTAGCATTTGATGGGTCGTTTGGCCGTCCTCTGAACCCCGTATCCTCATACACGGGGACTCCTTCCTCTTGATCCCTGTACTCCTCTTCTACAGGGATCTTTGTCACACGCTCCTTCTTTGTGTCGTCTTTACAATCCTTTCTTGTAGAGACCTCCTCTGTGTCAGCCTCCTTGGATGATTCCCCTTCCCCCTCCTTGGAGGAAGCGTCCAAGGCTGTCTGGATATGTGACATCAGTGCTTCTGCAATACCCAGGTCCAGCTTTGGTGGGTATACATCGGTTCCGGAGGTGCGGAACCCTTCATCTTCTTCTTTTCTTGCCAGCGACATCGTCACTTTGCACTGGCAATTGCGTTCCAGAGGTCCCTGGTAAGCATTGTCTTCGTCCATGACTGGCCACTGGCATGGACCCCAGGCCTGAACCGAAACGGCTGTTGTGACCAGACGTGTTGGTTTGCGCCATGGCGCCCCCCAGCAACACTGGTTGATGCCCACAGTTTGAACTGGCCCTTGTTTGTCAACCAACCTACGTATCTCTTCCAGCTGCCAAATGCTGGCTGGATTGAACTGCATGCCGTCTTCCTCTCTTTTGACCTGCCCTAGGTCTTCAGGGTGTTCCCCAAACAGAAAGACGGGTAACCCGTCCACTGACTGAGGATGTTTATCCACAGTGGCCCAAACCTCAATTGAGAATCTTACCAATTCATTCCCCAAGTCTAACTCATGTTGGAACCTTCTCTTCACCCATGGGTACCCCCACGGATGCTCCTTGCTTCGAAGAGGCGGTGGGCCTCGCCGGTTGGCCATACGAACACGTGTCCATGTGCTACATGGGGGTGTACAAATAACACAGTGAAACAAACCAGCTGCAATGTCAGACAAGATCTTAGATTGCAACCGCTCTTGGGTGAGATCAAAACCTTCACCTCTTTTGAGGTCAATCTCATGCGCCTCAAGTTCCCAGCCCGCATCTTTTGTCAGCCGACGCAGGCATTCGACCACAGACGTCTTACGCTCCGCCCCTGCAAAGAGGTAGAGTACCTTCAGGGTGAAACTTGAAGGAATCTCGGCCCTGCCTGGGCCCCTACCGCTGTTCTTGTGGTCAACTGCGGTCTCTTCCAAAACTTCAGATGACCCTTCTCCTTCTGTCACCTGAACTGTGTCCCTCCTTGTCTTGTCATCCTCTGCACCCAAGGGGGAGGGAGCCCTTGGGCTCTCGGAACTTCACTTGTTCGCTTTTCCCTCCCCAGCCGTGTCTGGCTGTGAGGCTCCTTTGCCCTTCTTGCAGGAGTGCGCAGGATGCGTGCCGAAACAGATCTGGCAGCAATGCACCCTACCGCACTGATAGCGGCAGCGCTGATCCCTGTTGTTCCAGGCAAAGCATATGTCACGCCCATCTGGCGTCTTCGTGTGCATGGACTTTCCTTTGCCCTTGCGTCCCTTGCCTCCCTTGCCCTTCCCAAAGGATTGCGATCCCCTGGGGTATGATTCCTCCCGAGAGTGTTCTCTCCGGGGAGACCTTGACTTCCTGCCCTGATCCCTTCCGCTCATGGCTGCATCAAGGGCGGCTGGTGTGAGGAAATACCGTTCTTTGATGGTGGGGTCCTTCATCGCGTCTTCCAACGCCTGCACCATCTCTGTGCCCTCGTTCATATACTTCACCATCAGTTTCCTCACTTGGAACTCATAACTCAACACCAGCTCCAAGCTTGGCGTTGCCACGACTTCACCACGCGAGTCCTTTGCCTGAAGTCCCATGACGTGTTCTCCAAGGAGAAAGTCAGCGTACTTGTGAAACAAGTTGGGACCTATATTCCTCAACTCATGTCTGTTGGGGAATTTCAACTGCGCGAACAGGTATATGTGTCCGAGGAGTTTGACCCTCTGTCGAAGATCCTCCCCGGACTTTGGTGGCTTGCTCTCTCCATAGCCCTTCTTGACCCGCACGGTGCCGTTCTTGTCCAGGGTCGCGGCCATCGGTTCCGAGTCTGCATCGTCCCTGCTGAGAAACATCACCAGGGACATCCTCTTCCATTCACCTGTCTCGATCTGCTCGAACAGCTGCTCCAGAGTGCCGGTGGACGGCGTGACCTTGTCCTCCAACTTGTAATGCAGCTGCTCGAAGCGCACCCGCAGGTCTTGGGCTTCTGCCTTATTCAGCGGCGGTGGTATCGATGCATTCACGGCGTCGGCCTCCGACTGGTTTCTCGTGGCCATCCTGGTCTTGCTGGCCTGCACTGCATCGATCATACCGGCCACTGCTACCACGTCCCTTCCTCTATCCAAGTTGCAGTGGTCCACCGCAAAGGTCCTGACCTCCGCAGCCGTGTCTCCAATGACTGAAAACAGGCTGATGCTACGAACCCCTGCGTTCGACAGTGTGCCTTGGAGTCTGTCTGACAGACCCTTCCGTTCAAGCAACCCCTGGAAGTCTGGGTCCAGGAGTCTTATGGCCTCGGCCCTCCCCTCAGCGGTGTCCAGGTCAGGCAGCACAGGGGCCGCCATGCGTCACACACCTAAAGCCCGATACACCTTAGTCACTTGAGCCGCGGTGCTGTCAACAAAACGCACTGCATCAAATCTCAACCACATGTCGGCATCTCCAAGCAAACAATCCACAATCAAAATCAGAAGACCTCACCTAAAGAACCTCTTCAAGCTCTTTGTCAGCGTCCCGGAGTCCAGTCCTCCAAGTCCCAATCATGCTAAGGCAGCCAACCAGAAATAAAGTGTCCCCTTAGACCTTAAGCCTACTCTCAACTTCAAGTTGCAGACCGGGTCATCCCGCTAGCTCTCTTCCGCCCCCCCTTTCTCTGGTTTTGCGGCACATGCTGACTTGCTTCCAACCATCCAGGTCAGCGTGTCTTTCTAACTTGCCCTGCCTCCTCTTGGACAGGACCTCTGATCTTCAGTCCGAAGACTCCTCAACTGACGTGCTGCTGTCAGAAGAGCTTACCTCTCCGTCTTCGGCTTCGCCAGAAGACTCTTCCCCCGCACCTGTGCCGCGAGGGAAGCACAATCTACAACTTCGGTGAAACTCGGAGGCAGGCGGAGGATTATCTCCCACCACACCTCAAAACGGCTATAGTGGATACCAGGAACTCGATGACACTCACCTATTCGGTGGAGCGTCTTTGTCTGCCCCCGGCCCACAATGCTCAGCACGTAAGTGCCGTGAGTAGGCGCCCCTCTCACTTCAGCTTCTCCTGCAGCCAGGTCGCCGGCGTCGTCCTCAGACATGCTCTCGTAGCCCATCGGTGGGCCACTCGGGTAGACCCCACCGTCACCAAACCCGGCGACTGCTTCACCCTCGTCATCTGGTTCGAACACAGCACCATTCGGTGTGAGCCTCACCCTCTTAGGCACCGGTCTTTTCCCAAAGACCATCAGCTTGTCGATCTGCACCTCTGCAGCCCCTGGTGGGAGGCCCATCTCCTCCAGCTTGGACGCCATGGCCGAAAACACGGCCGCTTCGTCAAAGACGTCCTTTCCTCCCATTCGATTGCGAATGAACGCCGCAATCTTTTCTTGTGCCCTCAGGACATTGGCCCTCCAAGTGCGTTCGTACGCCTGATCGGAGCTGGGCATCCATCTGCCCATCTGCTTCTTCACCTCTGGACTGATTTCCACTGCATCAGCCCAGGTACGAATTGTGGCCCTTTCCGAATGCTCGGTCCAGAGCAGTCCAGCACCTACCGGCAGCAACGGGACCACTGCTCCATCGTACTCGCAGTTCAGATCGTTGAACAACGCCTGCGAGCACTTGCTTGCCACGCCGTAATTGGCCATCCGCCTCGTGAATCCACTCAGATCACGAGTGGGGCAGGGCAGGCCAAAATCCCTTCCCTGCAGGCCCGCTTCTCTGCCCAACTTCTTCCATAGATCGAAGCCGACCTCCAGCCAATGCCTGTGCCGAATCCAACACATGACATTGACCCAGATCCTCAGCTTCTGGACCTTCTTTCCCGGCCCAGTTGTCTTTGTCTTGGCCAACACGGCCGTCAAACCGAAGCTCTGAAGCTCCATGGTTTCCTCCAACAGGCCACACGTGTCGGAGAACCTCATCCCGGTCCAGGTTTTCACCAACCTGAACCATGCGTAGCATCGGACGTATTCCTTTGCCCTCTCATCCATGACCACTGTTTCAAACTCAGCGATCACCTTGACTGGCAAGTGCCAAGCCCTCTTCGTGAAGACCCCTCCAGAGTTCTCAGACAGCTGCATGTTGACCTCCTCCAGAACATTGCGTACTGCAGGGGATTTGTTCAGCTGCTCCTCTGGAGGTATTTCGCCTGCGTTTTCCATGAAGATCAATGCACGGTAAACTGAGTCCGGAACCGTACGTCCACATGGTTCATTGGCACGACACTCCAGGTATCGTGCAAACTCCGATGGTTCCGCCGGCCATGCCCGACGGAAGGTGGCCATGGTCCACTCCGAGACCTTCTGCCACGTCTTCACATGTTTACGCAGAGTGTTCACCCTGCGTCCCTTGCCGTAACGACGGGACAGCTCGAAACCCATCGTCTCATCCCTAACCGATGGACAACCTCCATCTTGAAGGAGTCTCTTAAGTTGATAGATCCACCGGTTCCTCTCCGTCCTCTCGGCGCTGTCTCGAAGGGCTGGGTTGTCTCCGGCTTCATTGAGTCGCCTCTGCAACTTAGTGGGCTATCTGATGACCTTGGCCGTACCGACCAGTGGCACCTTTTCTACCAGCACCTTCTGAGTGAACTTGCGCCACTCATTCATCTTCTCCTGGAGACGCTTCTGTTCGTGCGCCACCAGCAGCTCAGCTCCTGAGGTCTTACCCTCCATCTTCCATGCGACCTCGGCCGCAGCTTGACAAACCTCGATCAACCCCAGAAGTATCTGGACATCGACCGCTTTGCCAAGCTTTTCCTCTGTGGCTTGCAGGACGACCCCTATCATTTCGTCGCCGGCGTCATGCAGAGTTCCCAACCTCTGCACGTTCCATCCCATCCCCTCTAGAGCTCTGACAATCTCTAGAGGGCAGCCACTGAGGCCTCCCAGGCCCAACAGGGTGGCCATAGCTCCCAACGGCGAAGCTACCTGCCCCTGAAACATGCTTTGAGCCTGGGAGCTGCGCCGGTCGATCATGACGATCCGGGGAACAAGTTCCACTACCCAATGTAATTAATACGACAATAACAAAAATAGAAAAAAAATGAAAAACGCTAAATAATACACAAAAACTGCAAAAAGAATCGCGAAAACTGGGCCTCCACAGCATCCCACTCTTTGTTAATTTCAAGTGAATTGACATATTCCAAGCGTCAAGTTTTTTGATTTGGGGCACAATAGCAATCGGCAATAATCAAATTGTATTATCACAAAACAAGGTGAAAGCAGTGAAACATTGTCTATAACATTAGGGAATGTTCATGCAGTGCTTCATGTCTGGTAGCCCTTTCGATTAAAAACCCGAAAAAAAGGCCGTCGATCCATGTGTTGGCATTTCTGTGGCTTGGACTGATTTTTGATGATTTTTGGGCTGGGGAGACGAAGCACGACAGAACTGCGGGAGAATCAACTCTCTACAGCACCTCAGTGATGAGATGTGGCCAGTGACAAGATAGCATCCGACTGTGTTTTTCTTTCGTGCGTCGCTCACATTTTTTGTTGTGCTCTACCACCAATGACTTTCTGTTCAATGGCAATTCGCGTTTAGGAAAACAGAGTCCAACAGAAAGCGAACACATCAGAGCTGTCTTGTCAGGAAATGGCTGCAATGTTGCCACTGGTGGACTCTTTGGCTTCCACAAATGTCGAGTCTGACGAGTCTGACGAGTAAAGAAATCTCCGAGAAGTTTCCTTAAGAGATATTGCTGCTCCTAAAATCATGACCATTTTCATGGAACAATTGGAACAATCATGCCCATGACTAGGATCCATATGTATGCCATATATGGTGTGCCATGGATCCCATAAAAATATACCCCAGTCATGTTAGCATAATTTTCTACCAGCACCAGCCGGATCCGTTATGGGATGATCAACTGCATTTTGGGTTTCAATCAGTTCCAAAGCCATTGATCCATTCGTTGCCATGAAAATTCATGCGCTGCGTCTGAGTCCAGAAAGCATCACCTCGCCATAACTGCCAGGGGTCATTTTCCAGGACCTGCTCAGAATTCATCCTCCAACGCATGGACGCCTCGGCTCGGTAAGCAGATCCCGCGATCCGCGCCGCTTGGAAGGAAGTTGGAAGCCTACGTTTACTCCACCTGGGATTTTTTAGCGAATTCTCAGGCTGAACATGTTGGGGTTAGATTTTTTTGAAACCATCTGCTTGTTAACATGTCGAGAATCATCTGATGTATCAAAAACCACATGTTTGCCATTTGTTGTACCAACATATCTGCCCTCCGGTAATCTAACGCAGGCATGGAAAATGGTCCATTTAGTTGAATGAGTTCCTTTTAAGAATGGTGATTTTCCACTTTGCAAACTGCTAGTCATGAACAGAAGGGAACCCCAACCAAAAAACACATCCAATTTCATAGTGGTGATATTCCACTGATATACCCATTACAATCTTTACCCTCTGGTAAACTAACATAACAATGGAAAATCACAATTTTCAATGGGAACATCCACTATAAATGGTCATTTTCAATAGCTTTTTGTATGTTTACCAGAGGGTATCCCATATGAATCTAACCATTCCTGAACCATAAGAAATGACAGGACCTTGTGAAATTTGGATGCCTACCCCTGGAATATCCTGGAATTCTCTTGGTTTTCAGTGAAAACTGCCACTTTAAAATAGCTGGTAGATGATTGATATAAATTTGGATGTTAATGATACATGAAAAGGTACAGTGACTGTGAAATATATATATATGTAATATTAATTGTGATATAAATATGTATATGAAAAACCCCATTCTTTTACTGGTACAGTATGGTAAAGTATGATCTCCCAGCAATCATGAACCAACAGGGGCGTCAACAGCAGCCACTGCGAATTTTCGCTGAAAATTGTCCTCGCCTCGCCACCACTCTGGAGCCTACGGCTGTGGCAGGGCTATGGGAAAAGCATGGTTTGGTGAAATATAGATATGGTCATTTGATGTCATGTGTCAAAAATTATATGCAAGTGAGCTGGAAGAAGCCAAGATATCCATAGATATCCAAGATCCAACGGTTTCAATGATTCGGCTGGCCGTATCTATGTCATTTTATGTCCGTATTTCTGGCCATATTCCATTTTCAGACACTTGTATCAATGTATCGAGGACATCAAGATACTTCCACATCAACTCGGAATCAAACATGCCACTTTAAACGAAGGCTGCATGCAGTCTTTGGCACGGGACATCATTCTTTCCTTGCCCCAGAAAACATGTTGTACCACGTTGTACCACGTTGTACCCTCTGGTAATTTCACATAGCCATACACAATCACCATCTTTGATAAACCCAAATAAACCATCCTAGAAATGGGCCGATTTCCAGGTGCCGTGGTGCTTGTTTCACAGCAAGCATCAGCAAGCTCAGCCGCAAACAACGTCTAGCCGGCAAGACCCGGCCTTGAACTGGTAAGGAGTTTCCATAAATCGCAAGAGTGCGCCACTCGGCCCATCCTGGCTGTGTTAAAATGCAGCAACTGCCACAGGCTGCCACACCTTTCCATCGATGAATTGACCTGATATGACTGGCATCGGATAGGACTGGCTCGATATTGGTAGGATGCAACATCCTACATGTGGTACAGCTACACAAAAAATACATCGAGAATCAATCTGCCGTATCTGAAGTCGAAGTCTGAGTCTCCACAATCAAGTGCCCTTAGCCACATTTTGACAAACAAACCTCAAGGCAAAACGTCATCTCGTTGAATTCATAGGGGCTGCCACCACTGGACCAAAGCAGCGCCCGAATCAACGGCCTGGCCTTTTCACTCAGCATGCCGTGGGTCTTGGTCAGCAAGTTTCTAGCAACTTGCCACTCTCCTTGAGAGTAGTTCTGATACCTGACAAACATTGACAAACATCTGGGCATGGTGCCAGTTTTGGCATTCCTTTTTCCCGCCAGAATTGATGATTTCAGCGGCGCGGCACGGCTCCACATCCAGCTGTGACAAGAAACTGATGCTTTCCTTAGGCCCTACCTTGTTAATGCTGAGCTTACAAATCAAAAGCAATCTTATGAAATGCTCAAAGACCGTTGAACTTAGAGCAAACCATCAATCGATGAGCCTGATCAGCAAACAAAAGAATAGAATACTAGAACATGGCTGTATCATGCTGTATCGAAGCAATACCTATTGGATGAAAGTGAAAAGAGTTTCACTTCACTGTCACTTCACTCTCACGGATTCATATCCAATTTTCACCACTGGGCCAATTCGTGGTGCACGTTTCCCGTGGCAATTCGCGGCTGATCGGGCACCCCATGTTGAAGTTCTGCAAAAAGGGCACCGTGTAGTGGGTTCGCATCTCTTGGAAATGCGGATCCTGTGAAGGTCATGAAAGAGTACCAGGGTGGATCCATAACCTGAGCATGGTTTGACACCGGCTGCTCCCGGTTTTTCGCTTTAGAGAGGAAGAAAAATAAAATAACGCCTCAAATGAGCAGCCTATGTTTGAATGTAACACTCATCTCTATCCAGATGTATCTATTAAGTCTCTCTTTTATCTCTAACGTAAATTAACCTGCCATTCAAATGGTGGCCACGACTGGCGATTCAACCACAGAAAATCATCAATGTCATAACTTCACCAATAAACAAGGTGATTTAAGAGGCACAAATTGGGCTCAAAACTGTCCACCCAGTCCACCCGGGTTCCTTCTTCATGACGTGCGCCTGGCACATCGATTTTTTTACATCCCGAATTTCTAGGTTTATACCCAACTTACTAGTGCTAAACGCAGGGAATTTTCGGGAATGATCCATAATCATCCATAATCACTAGTTTCATAATCATCCCATGCCAATAAACATCAATCAAACCCCAGGGATGATCATGTTGATCATCCCATTTCTACCGACTGTTTGTTCCCAACAGCAGAATGCTTTGGGGTCTTTAGCCATAGTAAAGGTTTCGGAGCAGACCGGAGCAGCTCCAAAACCCATTCCCCCAAGGTTCCCAGGTTCCGGGTAAAGGTTCCTAAGTAAAGGTTCCTAAGTAAAGGTTCCTAAGTAAAGGTTCCTAAGTAAAGGTTCCTAAGTAAAGGTTTCTAGGTTCCCAAGTAAAGGTTCCCAAGGTTCCCTCAAGGTTCCCAAGGTTCCCTCAAGGTTCCTAAAAGGTTCCCAAAAGGTTCCCTCAAGGTTCCTTCAAGGTTCCCTGCAAGGCTCCCAAGTTTTCCAAGCAAAGGTTGTCAAGGTTCCAAGGTTCCCAAGTAAACGTGGTCCAGGGTCCTAAGGTGACATTGTAAAGGTTTCTATAAGATTCCCAAGGTTAGATTGCCAAGGTTCCCAAAAGGTACCCTCAAGGTTCCTTCAAGGTTTCTTCAAGGTTCCCTGAAGGTTCCCAAGTTTTCCAAGGTTCCCAAGGTTATATTGTAAAGGTTCCCTCAAGGTTCCGGTTATATTGTCAAGGTTTCCTCAAGCTTTCCAAGGTTGCATTGTAAAGGTTCCCTCAAGGTTCCCAAGGTTAGATTGTAAAGGTTCTCAAGGGTTCCAAGGTTATATTGTCAGGGTTTCCTCAAGCTTTCCGAGGTTGCATTGTAAAGGTTCCCTCAAGATTCCCAAGTTTCCCAAGTAAAGGTTGTCACGGTTCCCAAGGTTGTATTGTAAAGGTTCCCTGAAGGTTCCCAAGTTTTCCACGTATATGTTCTCAAGGTCCCCAAGGTCATTATGTAAAGCTTCCCAAGTAGAAATATTCGTCGTATTATATTAATTTCTTTAAGAAATTTGAATGGGGCTACACGCGCGGAACCCGCGCAGAACAACACGCGCGGAACCCGCGCAAAACGCAGACGCGCATAACGCGCGGAAACCGCGCGAAACGTAGACGCGCGGAACCCGCGCGTACTATTAATACTTCTAGTACTAGTAGTAGTAGTAGTAGTAGTAGTAGTAGTAATAAAAATATCGTAGATGTAGTAGAAATGATACTAATCGTAATATTGATTAAATTACAATTAGTAGAAGTAGTACTAATATTCGTTGTAATATTTTAAGTTCTTTAAGAAATTTGAATGCGACCACGCGCGCGGAACCCGCGCAGGACAACACGGGCGGAACCCACGCGAAACGCAGACGCGCAGAACGTGCGGAACCCGCGCGTACTATTAATACTTCTAGTAATAGTAGTAGTAGTAGTAGTAGTAGCAGCAGCAGCAGGAGTAGTAGTCGTAGTAGCAATAATAATAATATCGTATTCATCACCCGTATATCGGCCTGCCAGACAAAACCGACACATGCCAAACGTTTGGTTGCTCTGTTGGACGGAGGCGAACAGAGCAACTCGGAGTCGAACAAAGCAACTAGCACCCGAAAACCATTCTTTTCCAAGCTATTTGCTCTATGAAACGATTGGATGCTCTGTTTGACGCAGGCGAACAGAGCAACTAAGTCCCCACCTGTCAGGTGAGATTTGTTAGATCATATGTTATCTCTTCTCTTCCTCCTTCTTCCACCGGACCTCAACTTCTAAAGAGATCGGTCAAGATGGGGATCGCACGAATCATTGTTGTTTCTGGAAGATTTGGAGCACTAAGTTTGCATGCTCCCACTGTAATTTCCCAACGTTCACGGCGCGCACTGGAAGGAGAAGCTGGCAGCAATGTTCCAATCAGAAGGGTGGCTTGGCCCGATGAAGGTCGTGCGGCAGGGTGACAGCGACACCTTCACCTATGTGTCTGGCCACACCAGGACGTGCAGCTTGTATTGCTATCTTCGTATGGCTTTCGACTTGCAGCTGGAGCTTCCGAAGTGGATGCGGTCTATGGCCCAGTCTGTGCCTGTCATGGTCGTGAAGGAGCCGGTGTCAGTTGCAGATCGGCAGAAAAAGATTGTAAATACAAAAACAGATGTAAATACAAAACGCCAAATAAACATTTGAAAAAAACAAGGCAATATTTTTCGAACGCTGATTCATTGCTACTGGTGCATAATCCGCCTTCTTGCTCTTTTAAACGCTTTTATATTGGAGAAAACAAACCTAGAAGAACACAATTTTCAAACCTTACGCAAAGCGCACCGGGTCTTCAAAAGGACGTAAGTAAAGAACGATAATACGCAAAATATCAACAAATTTTAAGCCTGTTGTTTAGATGTCAGAATGTATGCGAGATGCAATGCCAGAACACAATTCAAATAAAATCACATGGAACACTTTATGAACACTTCAAGCAAACGCATTTGAAAAACCAGCGACAAAAGCGAAGCGCCATCAAAAAAAAGCGGCATAGCATGAAAACATGAGGTAAAAAGTCACGTAAGTGTAGTTGCACCTGAGTGCCATGCGTACAAGAGACATGTACCTGGTGACAATATACATATCATTATCCATACCAAGACATGCAGAATTTATTTTCCATCATCGATTACCTGTGTCTTCATGTAATTAAACTTTTGAGAAAAGAACATATTTCAAAAATACATCCGTGTAGACAAGCGAGAAATGTACAACTCATACCAAAACTATTTACATCTATAAGGTCTGATCTAAAGAAAGTCCAGAGACGAAACAAATCTGTATAGTTTTTCAAGCTTTGATTTTTACCTAGAATGGACAGGCGGATTCTGGAATCCGACACCCGGATCCCGGGACCCAGATGCAGGAATCTAAATCCGCGATTATTTTTATCCAAAAATAAACATATATAGCTAAATTCAAGACATGAAAACGTAGAATCTGACAAATATCTAATCGTGGTTTGTTTTTTTATTGAACGCGGTCATTGCTAGTAGTGAACAATCTATCTTATTGCTTTGTTGAACACTATCTATACGAACCAAGAAGAACACAATTTTCGGACCTTACGCAAATCGCGCCGAATTTTGAAAAGGACGTAAGTAAAGAACGATAATACGCAAAATATCGACAAACTTTAAGCCTGTTGTTTAGATGTCAGAATGTATGCGAGATGCAATGCCAGAACGCAATTCAAATAAAATCACATGGAACACTTTATGAATACTTCAAGCAAACGCATTTGAAAAACCAGCGACAAAAGCGAAGCGCCATTGAAAAAAAGTGGCATAGCATGAAAACATGAGGTAAAAAATCACGTAAGTGTAGTTGCACCTGAGTGCCATGCGTACAAGAGACATGTACCTGGTGACAATATACATATCATTATCCATACCAAGACATGCAGAATTTATTTTCCATCATCGATTACCTGTGTCTTCATGTAATTAAACTTTTGAGAAAAAAATATATTTCAAAAATACATCCGTGTAGACAAGCGAGAAATGTACAACTCATACCAAAACTATTTACATCTATAAGGTCTGGGCTAAAGAAAGTCCAGAGACGAAACAAACCTGTATAGTTTTTCAAACCTTGATTTCTACCTAGAATGGACAGGTGGATTCTGGAATCCGGGACCCGGGATTCGGGACCCAGATGCAGGAATCTAAATCCGCGATTATTTTTATCCAAAAATAAACATATATAGCTAAGTTCAAGACATGAAAACGTAGAATCTGACAAATATCTAATCGCGGTTTGGTTTTTTTTATTGAACGCGGTCATTGCTAGTAGTGAACAATCTATCTTATTGCTTTGTTGAACACTATCTATACGAACCAAGAAGAACACAATTTTCGGACCTCACACAAATCGCGCCGAATTTTGAAAAGGACGTAAGTAAAGAACGATAATACACAAAATATCGACAAACTTTAAGCCTGTTGTTTAGATGTCAGAATGTATGCGAGATGCAATGCCAGAACACAATTCAAATAAAATCACATGGAACACTTTATGAACACTTCAAGCAAACGCATTTGAAAAACCAGCGACAAAAGCGAAGCGCCATTAAAAAAAGCGGTATAGCATGAAAACATGAGGTTAAAAAAATCACGTAAAGGTGTAGTTGCACCAGAGTGCCATGCGTATAAGAGACATGTACCTGGTGACACGCACTATTCTTTAGTCTACAAGCACCCGTACGTTCGACACTTGGAGGCTATATCGCAAGCCAAGAGGCTATGGATCAATACTAATCAAAAGGCAGCGAAGCAAACCATAGGCGCAAAATGGACGCAACTGATTCCGCCTGCTTCGGGCCGTAATAAGCTTTCCAGAAAGATATGCCGATGAAGCCGCTGGAACCGCTGGCGCCGATCAGGCCAATTGAGCCGATGAGGCCGATGGAGCCGCTGAGGCCGATGGAGCCGATGAGGCCGATGAGGCCGATGGAGCCGATGAGGCCGCTTGAGCCGATGAGGCCGATGGAGCCGCTGGAGCCGATGATGAGGCCGATGGAGCCGCTGGAGCCGATGGAGCCGATGAGGCCAATGGAGCCGCTGGAGCCGATGAGGCCGATGAGGCCGATGAGGCCGATGAAGCCGATGAGGCCGATGGAGCCGATGAGGCCGATGAGGCCGATGGAGCCGATGAGGCCGATGGAGCCGATGAGGCCGCTCGAGCCGATGACACCGATGGAGCCGATGGAGCCGATGCAGGTCGATGGAGCCGCTGGAGCCATTGAGGCCGATGGAGCCGATGAGGCCGATGGAGCCGCTGGAGCCAATGAGACCGATGAGGCCGATGGAGCCGAGCCGATGAGGCCGATGGAGCCGATGGAGCCGATGAGGCCGATGGACAGGCCGATGGACCAGGTGCGCCACAATGCAAAGCACCCATGCTCTGAAAGTGGCGCTTGGCGCCGGAGATAAATCCTATG